TGAATCTGTAGAGGCTTGCTTTGTGCCCTATGATGTGGTCAGTCTTCAAGAAGGTTCCATGTGGGGGTGAGAAAAAACTGTATTTCATGGTTTTGGGATGAAAAGTTCTATAGATGTCTTTTAAGTCCATTTGATTTATGGTATCATTTAGATCCTTTATCTCTTTACATATTTTTTGTCTAGATGTTTAGATCCCTTATCTCTTTACCTATTTTTTGTCCAGAGGAGATAGTGCAGTGTTAAGGTCTCCAATAATTAGGGTGTTGTAGTCTATCTCCCCTTTTAGATCTAACAGTCTTTCCTTCACATATTTGGGTGCTCCTGTGTTAGGTGCGTAGATATTAATAAGTGTTACATCTTCTTGATTGATTGACCCTTTTACTACAATATAGTGCCCTTCTTTGTCTCTTCGAATAGTTTTTGTTTTAAAGCCTGTTTTGTCATAAATTAGTATCACGACTCCATCTCTTTTTTGATTTCCATTTGCATGGAAAAGCTTTTTCCAACACCTCACTTTCAGTCTATGTATGTCTTTATCCATGAAGCAGGTTTCCTGTAGGCAACAGATAGAGGATTTCTGTTTTTTAGTCCATTTGGCCAGTCTGTGTCTCTTGATTGGAGAGTTTAATCCATTAACATTCAATGCTATTATCAATGTTACTGGCCCTGTCCCAACGTTTAAATTGGCCATTGTCTTAGTTGCCTTTTATTCCTTTGTTTCTGGCTGTTACTTCTTTAGTTTTCCTGGAACAGTACTTTCTTCAGGGTTTCTTGAAGAGCTGGCCTGGTGTTGGAAAATTCTTTCAGGTTTTGTTTGAGAATATAATCTTTTTTTCCCAAATGAAGGATAATCTTGCAGGGTATAATAATCTTGGTTGAAATTGTTTTTGTCTTAACACTTTAAATACACCTTCCCATTCTTTTCTTGCTTGCATTGTTTCCGTTAAGAAGTCCAGTGTTAGCCTTACAAGGTGACCTTTGTAAGTCATTTGTCCTTTCTCTCTTGCCAGTTTTAGTATATTATCTTTATCTGTGGTCTTTGCTAGTCTGGCTAAAATGTGCCTTCGGAAAGATCTTCTTGGGTTGATTCTATTTGGGGTCCTTTGTATTTCTTGGATCTGGATATTTGAGTGCCTCTCTAGACTTGGGAAATTTTCTTCCAAGATTTCATGGAATAGATTTTCCATGCCCTTATTAGTTTCTTCACCATCTGGCATACCAATTATTTGGATATTAGGGCATCTAATGGAATCTAGAATTTCTTGTATGTTATCCTCATTTTTTTTTTGTTATTTTCTCTTATCTTTTTGGTGGTTTTCTCTAGATCAGAGGTTTTATCTTCTGCATTGATAAAGATTCAATCTTCAGCATGGTCTAATCGACTTCTGATACTTTCAAGAGAGTTTTTGATTTCCTGTATTACAGACTTAACCTCTAATAGTTCCATCTGGTTCTTTCTTAGCATGTCCATTTCTTCTTTTATATCATGGAAGGACTTTCTAATCTCCTGTAGTTCATTGTCTCTTTTTTGTTCCAACTCATAGAATTTGGTCACCATGAATGTTCTAAATTCTTTCTCGGACATTTTGGTAATGTCCTCTGTTTTTCCAAGAAATGGAAGGGAGTCATTGTTTTATTTTGATGGAGACATATTTCCTGCTTTATTTATTCAGATCTGAGGCTCTTCTTCCATTTCTAGCCATTGGGAGATGTGTTCACTTTGGAATACCTTTTAAAAGAACATTTCCTCAAATAGGAACAAGTGTGTTTCCCTTTTGCTGTGGGCTGAAGACTACCGGAGTCTCTCTTCTGTTGTGTTTAGCAGTGTTATCCGAGGAGGAGTATTCTGGCTGACAGAGATAGGTGTCTCTGGATTGGGGGTCCCAGGGCTAAAGCTGGGGCATGGGGTCCCTGCCTCAGTGTTCCTTAGGCCAGGGGTCTCCCCATCTGATCTTGTAACACTACATTCTAGTCACAGTGGCCATCATCCAATTCCTTGAACTTGCTGTTCTTTTACCATCTCTTCTTCCTGGTTTTCTATAATATACGCCTTTCCATTTAACATATAGTCCCAGTTCCTCTTCCCAGAGGCCCTGAATTCCTGCCTCCCACTGTCTATTCTCTCACTCCACCCTATCCTCAACCTCAAGGCTCCCCTTATTCACTGCTAGTCCTTCAGGGCCCTGGAGAAGTACTTGTGGCTGGTGGACTTTCAATGAATATGCACAGGATAAGTGAAAAATGTAGAGGAGAGGCCAAAGGAAAAAAGAATTCTCAGCTCATCTTGAATATGAGGTCAGATGCTGGCTCCATTTTGAAGGTAGAGCTGACAAGATTTGCTGATAGGAATTGCTCTCCAACTTAGATGTGGAATGTGAAAGAAACCAACAAGTCAAGTGTAACTCCAGAGTTTTGGCCTTGGGGAAACTGCAGACATGGATTCACCACTATTGGAATGAGGAAAACTGAGAGGGAGGTGTGATGTGTGCATGTGTGTTTTGGAGAGGTGAACAGGTATTAGGTGTCAGTTTGGGACATGAAAATTTAAGATGCTTAATACCTTAGTTCACTGTGTCCTCAACTATGAGGATGAGTTCATTGTTTCTCATGTCATGATTGTGAGGATTTGAAGAGTTAATGCACACAACTCAAAATAACAGAGGAAGTGGATAAGGAAAATTAATTCCTTAAACATAGTTTATAGAGCTTTTATCAAATCCTGTGGGCATTTGATATGAAAACATAAGAATAATTCTCTACATTTTTTTCCTGACAGGATTTTAGGTTGTATTGTACTGGATTTTCTTTGGTCAATGAAGACTTTCAGTTATACAGTTAGAAATTAAGATATTGCTTCAGAGTATTTAAAAACATCTATGTCTTACCCAAAGAATGTCAAAAAAAAACTGTCTTCCATTGATGCACTGAACTGTCTTGTAACTGTTATCATTTTCAACAGCAACTATATGGACTCTCTGCTATGTATAGGGCAAAATGCTAGGTTCTGTGAAGCTAATATCTTTAAGATAGAATTTATAATGTTGTTATAGTCTGGGGGTTAATGTAAGAAACTCTGTAAAAACCAGAGTTTAACATTACAGGCTTAACATAAGAAATACATGGATATAATTATGGAGTGAAAGCCCATGAATTTCTTCATATGCTGATCCTGCAGGGCAGAGCAGTGGGGGACTAGAATGAATAGAGCTGATTTCAGAGGGATGCCTGTGGTTGTTCAGGGCAGGATTCAGAAGTAGTCTTCAGACAGGCCCCCATCCCCACCCTACCCATTCAGGCAGACTTTGAAGTGCTTTCCGTGTATTTATTTGGCTTTATTGTTAGAGAAGACATTTAATAGCTAAAAATTATAGTCCTAAGGTTTTATTGGATGCAGTTAAAGTTAATTTTTAAAAAGTTCTCAACAAATCTTATTTGAAGTCCTGATATATCAGTTTCCTTTATAGCAGGGAGTGTTGATTTATTTACACCATACAAATAACGTAAAACCCACTTAACAGTTTGTGGGACCTAAAGTCCCACATGTGACTTTCCATGTGAACAGGACCTTCAAGGCCTATTTACTCATGAATAAGTCTTCTATTCCAAAGTAGGTTTGAGAACAGGCAGACTCATCTAACTTGTTCTTAGCTATGATAAGATGAGCTAATATGTGAGCTCTCTCCCCTTGGTTTCCTGAGTCAGTCTTCATAGAAACACTTCACTGTTTCTTGAAGATGAATTCTTGACACTTTACACATCCTGGTATTCAATATACAAACCCATGGTAATAATTGTAGATAATGTTTACTGAGCACTCAGTAGGTGCCATCTTCATTTTAAGCCCTCAAAGGGTATTAACTTTGCTAGCAATCACAGCATTACTTCAAGGTGTAGGTATTGTGTTATTCTTGTGTAACAGTCGAGGACACTGAAGAGTAGAAAGGGGTTAAGACATTGTCCAAGTTTACACTGATTGTTAAGATAGAGCTGGGTTTCAGGCCCAGACAGAGAGGACACAGAGCCTTGTTCTCAGCTATGGTGCTGTGTAGTCTCCATGAAACCTAAGTTTGGGGAATCTGGTACAGAACAATTTAGTAACTATAGTTTTTTGTTTCATAAATAAAATTTGTTATGTAAGTAAATACTATGTGAAACTTATTTTACATGTATATATAAATATTTCTACATATGTAAATATCTATAGCTAGATATAAAATCTGTAGATAGGTATAAATTAAGGTCATATAATTATATATAACATTGTAGATCATAGATTATAGATTATAAGCAGGATTTAAAGTGATTAGTAGATATTAACTGTGATTTTTTGTTTTCTTCTCAGTTTCCTGGTTTACTCCAAATGAAAATATTCTCATTGTAATTTTCCCAATTTTGGCTATACTTCTCTACTGGGGGCAGTTTGGTATTACAAGTAAGTCTTTATTTCTATTTTTTATATGTTTTATTGGTGAAATTGTATCTAGGAAACAATATTAGTGAAATATTTCATTTAAGTTGTAGTAGAGTGTTTTTGTGATTAAAAGAGAATATGTGATTTAAATCATTAGTCTCCTTAAGGTATGTATTGCCCCATATTTTGCTACTATTCACTTTTTCAAAAAAGCTTATTTGTTTCTTTCATAAACAGCAAGACAGAGAGACAGCACCCCCAACAAGGTCTTGATGCCATGAATCACCTCCAGCCTCAGCCAACCTTGGATCATGGGCACAAGCGTGCTCAGCATCCTCAGGGAGCTCTCTCAGTGCAAACCTAGAGCCTGTCCATAGAACTCAACCTCGCAGAGCATTGCACTTACTGCTGTGCCACTGCCCAGCCCCCGTTCACTTTTAATTCCAAAGAAGATGGTTTTTCTTCCTTGTGTTATTTCTGTAATTTTTCAAGAATGAATAGTGGGGATACTAGCAACAACAATGCCGTAAACTCATAGAGCATTTAAATATTTTCAGAACATTCACCCACACAATATTTAACATGAACCCAGAATTTGCACACATGGATCAGCCTCGAAGGGCATTACATTTTCCTGTCATGCAACTGTCTGGTCATGTGAACACAAACCCTGATGCCATATCAGATTTAGCATCAACAATACATAATGGAATGGCCATGACTGTCATGGATAAATAGGTAATGTGGATTCTGGTTAACGTGTACACTCAGTCATTTTCCATACCAATTGGCATAAGAAAATTTACTAAATTAGTGAAGTTCTGAGGTGAAGTCTAAACTTGTAAACTTTTAAAATAGTAAAGTTATTCCTAATCTCCCTGTAGCACCCTGAAGTTGTCACTGAAGACCAGTAAACATCTACACAGGCAAGGAATAAATGGTGCTGATCTAATTTATTCTTCAACTCTTAAAAAAAAAGTGAAAGCTAGTGAAATATTGTAATGGATTGGCCTATTGTCAATTTCATGAATTTTACTTTTACTCGGAAGTTTAAACTGTGTATATATAAAGCGATATATAAAAATGGAAGGGAGATGAGTGATTGTATAATATTTTAGGAGCATTGTTCAGTATATGGCACTCTGGAAATGCTTAATGATTTCAGAGATGTTCTCAGCTTTTGTCTAGAAGGAAAAAAAGGAGGAAGGAAGCACTGACGGTGACAACTGTGAAGACATTTCACAACTCTTCTTTTCAAGGCAATATCTAGACACTTTTGGGTAGCTTTCTTAGGATTTCAGTAAGCCTTTTGTATCAAGAAATGGACTAGCATAACATCAAGGCCTACTCTGGCGTCACTGATGTTGGGGAAAGTTTGTAACCACAGGGGCAGATCCAGGTTTGAAGTGCTAAGTCGTATGATTCAGACAGGGGACAACTTTTTTTTTTTTTCATAAGCTAGTCAAATTAGTGTGATTACTTGAGTTTAAATTGATAGATGTTTTCTGATCATGGCATTATTGATGAACTTATTTTTAATGAACCAGGAGTGAATCTGTTTATTAGCCCTATTTTTATAAAATATACTTTTACATTTTTTTCTACTTAAAAATGCAATAGATATCATTTTAGAATACCTTATATAATATAGGAAGTTATATAGAGAAAAAGCAAAAATCATCTGGAGTTTCAAAACCTAAAAATAAGCTATTTGTGTATTCTAGTGAATTCCCTCCTTCTCACCATCTGTCTTTTTCTACTCATTTTTGTTATTGTTCTTTAAAGAAAAGAAAATGGTAATGGATTCATATAGCTTATATACTTACATATCTTGATTTTTCTCTTGAGTCCTCAGAAATCTTATTAGAGCTGTTTATGCTCTGTTTTTGTCAATGCATTATCATGTACTTAACTCTCATCTGGATTAATATTAAGGATATTTCCATTCTTTTTTGATACTATGAAAGTAACTCTCCCAAAGATATGTATGCTTGGAAATGGCAGAAACATTTCAAGTCTCAATACATGCTGCCAAGATGTTTTCCAAAAACATTGTATCAATTATTTTATATGAAAATAACTGTCTTTTACCTTACAGTCCTGGCATTATCATAATTCTAAAGTCTTTTATTAATTTTACAGGTAAAATTTATTTATTTAATTTGCCAGAGGGCATATGTGCTCCCCAGAGAAAGACCAAGAGAAAGAGAGATGGAGAGAGGGAGAAAGTAACCCCTGATAGGGCATAGTCACACCACAATATCTTCCCTTCCATTTCTCCATCCCGTCAGGATTTTGAGCATGCACACACACATGCCTGCGGTGTTTCTCAAGTCACCCAGTCCAGGATTCAAACCACATGGATGGCTGTGTGAAATTCAGCTCCCTTAACCAGTGGGCCTGGTTAGCTCCCCAAAATTTTGTTTTAATTTTCATTTTTATGTTAGTGAGTTGAATGTTCTTTTTTATGTTTTTTTTTCCCCCTACTAGTCATATTTTAAGAAATATCCTTAAGACTTCCAAAGAGAGCCCTGGCATGATGGCTAAGGCACTGGACTCCCAGGTGGCTGACGATAGTTCAAGTCCTAATCTGGTGGTTTGCTTCATGACTCTCCATTTCTCATCTCTCTCTGGTCAAATTTAATAATAATAATAAATGAAAAGGTATAAATATTTCTTTTAAAAAAAGACTTCTAAAGAAATACTTTAGTGGATTTTTTTTCTTTTTACCTTGGCTTACATTAGAACAGGTCAGTGTGCTGTATGTATGCATTTAGAAGATCTATCCAGGGACCAGCAGTTAGCATAATGGCTATGTCGCTGGACTCCCACGTAGTCGACCGTGGTTCACGTCCCGGACCCGGTTGCTTAAAACACATGCCGGACACGTGTGCATGCGTGCCCAAGATCCCAAGAAGAAAATAGAGGAGAAGGGATTGCAGCGTGGCCATCCCCTCTGGGGGGTGATTTCTCACTTTCTATCTCTCTGTCTCTCTCTGTCTGTCTGGCGAGCGCACGTGCCCTATATAGTAAAAACCTCTAAAAGAAAAAAAAAAAAAAAAAGAAGATGTATCCATATACTTGATTTGCTCACCCTGGACACATGTGTGAAGACATTGATGAGAGAAGTAGCTGAACATTTACAGATTTCTTGTTCTATATGACAGGCACTGTATAAAGTACTCAACTTGTGCAATCACATGTCTTTCTACCTTAAATTCTCTGGGCATAGGTACTGTTGTTATTTCCATTTTGAGTATAAGACACTGAAGCACAGAGAGGTTAGACAGTTTGTCCAAACGCAACCATTTCCTGGCAGTACTGGGATTTGAACCAGTGCTGTTTACTGCTCCACTTATACTCCTCTCCATCTTGAATTCATTTTGAGAATTTTCTTTCCATGAAGTTGATCCTGTATTTAAGTACACACTGAGTAGATGAAATTATTATTGACAGAATATTGACCTAATTTGTTTATTTTCTATACAAATACCTATCAAGATGTGGAAGTAAAGCAAATATTGTCCCTGGCTGTCTAGCTCTCATGGTTCAGTCATTTCAGCTGAGGACACATGTGTATATGTGACCCGTGCCTTTTGTCACATCTTAAGATACTCATGGATCTGACTCTAACTTTTCTCTTGGTACCTTTTGTAAGAAGCCTTATGTTTATGGCCTGGGCATTCCACCAACTAAGGAAAGCACCTCCCTCTATTTCCTACCTGCTTGGTTATACTTTTTTTTTTTTTTTGGATCCAGTATATAATAGTCTGTAAAGTATTAATAGTTACTCAGACCACTACTTCCACTTTGCAGATTTCTAGTTCTCCCTAGCTTTCCCCAGTTACTATTTATGGTTAGTACTTGACTATGGGGAACTTCTTTCAGTGGATTTTAGCTCTGCGTGTGAATCTTTTGTGGTCCAAGATAAAACCCAGGCCTTAACTAGGCTAACCCTTTAATAAGGACAGCAGGTTGTGCCCTCATTTTGAGAGAAAGAGTTTCTTTATACCAAAGCTATATCTTGAACTGCCTTTCATCCTCTGAGGAAGAAGCCTTAGAAGACTTCTTGACTCTCAAAGCCAAGCCAGGACTTGGTGAACCCTAGACCATGATTTAAGACAAAGGTCTCTTACAGGGTTATGTTTCTGAATACCTTTGCCTTTAGCTTTAACTTACAGACTTCTAAGCAAAATCTCCATGCTTAACAAACAGCTCAGAGATTAGGAAAAAACAAAAACAGAAACAAAACAAACAAACAAACCACTGAGCCTTAAGAAGTAGTATGGCATTTTAGATGCTTTTTGTTCTGAAACTGAAACTACCAATGCCATTCCACTGGTAATTAGTTCCTGGATGATTTTCAGGGTTTTTATTCCTTATTCTGAGATATTATAACAGGTTCTTTCCATCATGTAGATGGCAGAATAATGATCTCAAGTAGGGCTGGCTGCATGGCCTCGTAGTTATGGGAGCTGACCTGCATGGGCAGCTGTGTGGTTCATAACCCCAGCCTCAGCAGCTGGAAAAGTGTGCTGGGCACATGTGCTTCCATGCCTCAAATCCCATCAGGAAAGAGAAATAGAGAAGGGATTGAGTCGTGGTCACCATACTTTATGGGACTGGGGTGCTTTCTCCCTCTCCCTCGCTCTCTGTCTCTGTCTGTCTCTCTCTTTCTGGCAAGTGCACTCATCCTCTGGCAAAGAAAAAAAAAAAGTACAAACAAAAAAATTTCAAGTGTTGGGCCAGCAGGTAGCATGGTGGTTAAAGGTGCTGGATTCCCACATGGCCCACCATGGTTCAAGTCCCAGACCTGGCGGCTTGCTTTCTCACTTTCCCTTTCTTGCTCTTTCTCTGTCTCTGTCTGGTCAGATTAAAAAATAATAATAACAAATGGAATTAAATAAATCATTTTTTTTTTAAATTTCAAGTGCTGTGTACGCAGTCTCCTGCTTCTTTTCAATTGTATGTAAAGAATTCGTTAATGTTCTGAAATTTTTTGAGACAGACCAATCTAGTCT